CATGTTTTTACACATGACACGAGACCCCAATGAAAAGAAATAGAAGACATACAATATAATTTTAATAGATATAATTATATTAGATATGTTTATAATGTATACACATACACCATGTATGTACACAGTTCTGAAAACACGAAACTCAAAATATTTTGGGCACTTTCTAGGGTGTGTAATTTTTCACAGTTACTTGACTAAAGAAGCTGGTTCAGTACTTCAGTTTTTACCAGAGTATTTTTAAGATAAGTGTTTGTACTTCTACTTTAGTGAAGAGTGTCTATTTTGTCACCTCTGTTAAACACCACGATTAAAAGACTGATGAAGAAGTTCAACTTGTGAAGAGAAAAAAGCCTTACAGACATTTATATTTCTGCTGTCCCGTGGTTTGTGTTGAACCTTTGAACACACTGACTGAAAGCCCAAAATAAATACTGTCCACGGGTCACTGCAAGACCAGCAGATATGTATGTATGTATTTCAAAATGCTAAAAATTCTTTCTGATATATTATAATGCATGTTTTATTAAAGAATGTATCTTTAAGATCATAACAATCTAATTTTGGTCCATAATCTCATCAAGTAACAGGAAGTTAACTTGAAATTCTGGTTCTTTAACTCTTTAATAAAACCTGTCATAATTAATTTTGTAGTTTTGCGTAAAAAAGGTTTTGTTAGGTTGAAATTGTTAAGTGTTGTCATTGTGTTACTTTAATTGTGTGATCAAAGACATTCTGTTTCTGTTCCCCTCCCCGGCCTGCTGAATGGTGGGGGAGAAAGTTAGCTATAGTTTTTACCTGCAGACATTTCAAGTAAGGTTCTCGTGTCCTTATTTAGTGAGGATGTTTTACTTCCTGCTCTTTATCTCCTCACCTGTGTTTGTACAGGGTAAACCTTTGGAGGAAGCTAAGCCATATACAGGGGTGAGGGGAGATGATCACCAGTTTTTGCTTATCCGTTTCTTGCAAGTTAAGAAACGGTTAAAGTGTTCTGTCCTGCTTTGTTCACAGGAATAAGTCTGAATAGGCAGGCCTGCTGAAGCGCAGACCCAACAGTTTTGCTGACTGGAAGCTGATGATTGTCTTCAGCAGCTGGACCTGGCTGTGATCCCAGAGCTAACTGTAGCAGGGTTGTAGCACTGTATTACAACCCAGATTTCGCACTGGGTCTAGGCTGACTACTTTCTAAGCACCAACGAATAGTTTTAAAAAACATTTACAAGAAATTGCTAAAGTTGAGATTTAGTAGAACAATAAAGACGTTAGAGAAAGAACCAGGGGAATGGTATGACTTTTTATTGTTTATTGTGAATATCGCTTTAGCTGAAAATCCTATTATTCCTAATAATTACAGTCAGAAAAATTCAATTCAATTTATTTATATAGCACTCTGTACTGGATAAAAACCACAAAGTGCTTCGCAGTAATATAAAAACAGATATACATAAAAACAGCACAGTCAAACGTTCAGCACAAATGAGTCTTAAGCTGCTTTTTAAAAGAATAAATACAATCAAGGCAACGTAATGATGGAGGGAGCGCATTCCACAACCTGGGGGCCACCGCCCTAAAACGTCTCCTCTGGTCTTAAAATGTGTTCGAGGAATTTTTATGGAATTTCTTTTGCTTATCAAGCCAGAAGCAGGGTGTTAAGTTCTTTGTGTTTTTTATTTCTCCTTATTTAGTAACATTTTATGTGCCCAAGAGAGGAGGAGAAATTGTAACAATTACAAAAATCAGCTGTCACACAAATACAGCTGCTAAACAGTACATGTGTGAGTGAATACAACCAGCTCGTACCCAACCACAAAACAATGAATTTCAAATCAATTTTAAGAGTAATCTCATTGTCTCATATCTATTTTGTTGATCCTTTAAATTGACTTAAACTATTAAGTCTATTAAGTCACAGTAACTAGTTCTAACAGTTTTATTTTGTTCTACAGACTATTCTAGGAACAAAGGGCAGTATTTTTAAAAATGATATTTATTTTTGCCCAACTCTGTTATGAACTCTGAGAATAAAAAGTATTTCTTGTTTGACTGTGTTAACTTTAAACCTCATTTTTTGGCAATGCGCAGTAATCAGAAAAACATTCCCCTTTGTTGTTTTAGCTGATAGAAAGGCAAGTCGGGCTGGTTGAACATTTGCTGAACTCCACAGTAGAACATCCACAGGCTGAGGAGCTGGGTTTGACAGCTCCTCAGCCTCACCACCAGCTTTGACAGAACAGCTTTGAAAGTTGATGTTTGCATAATGTGGCGAGAAAGCACAGAGTGAAGGTTGGCTCTAACTTAAATTGAGTTCGCTGCATGTTCTGAGTCTGACACCTGGAGGTGCTCCTGTGTATCCTCACAGGCACAGACCTTCAGTAAGAGAACGACAAACATTGTTTATACACAGTCACAACACTTGTGATAAAAACTGCACTACAAATTACAACTAAAATAATAATTATACCAAATTGTTACTACTGGGTACCTGTGTTTGAGACAATAGAGAATACATACAATAAGGTATACACACAGGCAGCCACACAGCATTCTGAAGTAATGTTTTGCTCTTCACTCAGTGATTCCTTTCATTTTTTTTCCTTTATACTTCGACTATAACATACTGTTAGCTGTTGGCACTAAAACTACATCGTTAAGTTTATAAAAAAGAAAGGAAATTTGAATTTAACTTAACATAGTCCTCTTTTAGCATGGCTAAAGGTTCATGACATTCAATCTTCTATGATGAAACAGCACCTAAATTTTGTCATCTGTAGTAGAATAGCATCTATCTGTCTGTCTGTGTGTGTGTGTGTGTGTGTGTGTGTGTGTGTGTGTATGTAAAAACAGGTACCTCAAGGTATTTGTTGTTGCCATTATCCTACAATAAAAAGCAGAATAAAAAGCATATTGTAATACAAGAAAAGAGAGAAAAAATCAAACAATCACATGAGCAAATGCTTTTGAAACAGTGAGAAGGAAAAACTCCCTTTTAACAGGCTCAGGGAGGGGCAGGGCCATCTGCTGCAACATGCTGGGGGTGAATCCTACCTCAGCATGACTTAAGGAGGATTCAGGTCCGCCTGATCCAGCCCTAACTATATGCTTTAGCACAAAGGAACGTTTTAAGCCTACACAGAGCGGGTGTCTGTCTCCCAAATCCAAAGCTGGTTCCACAGAACAGGGGCCTGAAAACTGAAGGATTGGGAACAACAAGCAAGCCTGCAGTCAGAGAGCTAAGTGCTCTAATGGGGTGATATGGTACTATAACTTCGCTAAGATAAGATGGGGCCTGATTATTCTAGACTTGTATGTGAGGAGCAGGATTTTGAATTTGACTATGGATTTAACAGGAAGCCAATGAAGAGGAAATCTGCTCTCTTTCTAGTCCCTGTCAGGACTCTTGCTGCAGCATTTTGGATCAGCTGAAGGCTTTTCAGGGTTTTTTTTAGGACATCCTGGTAATAATGAATTACAGTAGTCAAGCCTGGAAGTAATAAATGCATGAACTAGTTCTTCAGCGTCACTCTGAGACAGGATATTTCTAATTTTAGAGATGTTGCGCAAATGGAAGAAAGCAGTCTTACATATTTGTTTAATATGTGCGTTGAAGGACATTTAGTGGTCAAGACCAACTGCACGATTCCTCACAGCGTTACTGGAGGCCAAGCTAATGCCATCCAGAGTAAGAATCTGCTTAGATACCATATTTCTAAGATTTTCAGGGCCGAGTAAAATAACGTCAGTTTCATCTGAATTTAGAAGCAGAAAATTAGAGGCCATCCCGGACTTTAAGACATGCCTGCAGTTACTAATTGGTGTGTATACAGTGAAAATGTATACTATGCCCTCTAATGATACTGCCTAACAGACACATGTATAATGTAGCAGAAATGGTACCAGAACAAAACCCTGCGGAACTTCATAATTAACCTCAGTGTGTGAAGAGGACTCTCCATTTACATGCATTGGAGTCTTTGAGATAGATGTGATTCAAAACACTGCAGCGTGGTACCTTTAACACCTACTACATGCACTAATTGCTGTGTTTTTTCAAGCTGATAGTAGAAAAAACCAGCAACTGGTTATCCAGTAAGGGTCCTGGCTAGACCCCCCATGCTAAAACCAAGCCCTGGAATGGCGTGGCTACGTCTGCTGCCTCATACACAAGCATTTCACTACATGTTGTACTGTGTATGTGACAAATAAAATTTGAATTTGGTCTGTGCTTGTTGTTGGTGTCGGATTTAAAACATAATGGTGACAAACACTGGATCGAGGTGCCCCCTGTTAATATTTGCTTGAGCTACAACAGACTCTAGAATCTCCACTGGTGAGACAACAGTACTAACCAAGTACCTTGAATCTAGTTCAGACAAGCAAAATGAAAGCAGGACTCAGAACATCTCGATGTAAAATGTCGCTGGAGTTTTATCTGATGGATTACATAGCCACAAACCTCTCAGCAGAGGAAACATAGGCAGTGGTTTTCTACAGAACGCTACAAATTTAATCTCTTCAGACAGGCTGCAAGACATGTTGAGCAATATGCCAACATTATTTCTGTTTTTTGGATACGAGCTTAAATAATGTCCATGCAGTTAGAGATTAATAGCTGGCCTGATGAGGAGAGTCAATAATAAAATTATGTCCCTAAAATTTAATCAACGTTACTTCCTCATTGTGTGGAAAATACTTTTGTTTTAACTAATTGGTTGTTTATAAATTGCTGCATTTATGAGTGCAATCTTTTATGTGAAATAGCACTACATAGTTATTTTAGATCACTTGGTACAACATTGCTGCCTCTACTCTCAACAATACTCATTAAACAGTGAGGCTTAGCAACATCACCATAATAAACCCTCATTGAGTGGTTTCTCTCAGGATGACAAATCCACAGAGGTGATGGATGAATACTCATACCTATCATACTGGATAGGCTGATGAGGAGGTTTAGTTTGGAATATTCTCTACTAGTTAAGAGGTAATGAACTGGATTTCTTGATTTTTTTCTGCTTTTGGAGAGCTTTTTGTTGATTGTCTGAAAAATTATATGGTTTTACTAAAAGACTAGAAAGTCTGTGGTTTCAATTGGGTGACTGAAATCCATATAGTGCATCCTTTCATGGATTCAGCTTACTCACTATGATAACTCTCCCCTCTCATCCAAATCCACCACATCATTGTTTTTTGTACCTATGTTGCTGTTCTCTCCTCAGTATAAAAAATGACTAATACATGAAAAAGTTAACTAATGGTTGTATCAACACATTGCTGCATTAACTATACTTCATATCAGACACATGCACCCACCTGTTTGACATACGATGCTCCAGCTCCATTTTCAGCATTTTTTAAACGTGAGACTCCTGCAAAGTGAAAAGAGAAAATAAACACATTTCACTAAACTGATATGCAGCGGCCTCCACTGGCTGCTTCTGAAAAAGAACTGCCAGAGTTGCATTGATCATTATCACTGAACCATTTTCTATTTTGATTTAATCTGATTTAACAAGAAATTTGAAAAGATAATCATAACTTGTATTCAGAAGTATTCATAAGTCATAGGATGGAGAATTTGGGGACTCTGCTAATGTCGCTCTGTCTGCTGTTGATTTTTAGATGTTATCTGTGCAAAATATGGAAGAATCTCAATATTGTCTTATTTTTGAGAAATGAAAATGAATGTACTCACGTTTATAGATAAGGAATAAAATGATTGCAAACATCAGCTGCAACCCAGCCACACGTAGGATCAAGGTCATCACTACATCACAGAAATTTAGACCAGAAAATTATTCAGCATGACATTATTGTTCAACTGCCGGTGCTGAAGAACATAGGAAAGATAAACCTTTTGAAAGTTTTGAGACTTTCACATCATCAGTTTATTTCTATGTTTTCATAAACAGTGTGAACGTCTTAATCCAGCTTCAGCACTTGCTTTCATAGCAGATTTAAATTAAATAAAGTCTCTCACCAGAACTCTGAGGAGCTGCGGTGGTTGCTGTGGTTAGAGGAGGACCTGTTTCAGAGAAAAACCACAGTCCTCACCGTTAAAGCTTTTTCTTTATGTTTTTATAAACTGTGTGAACATCTTAATCCAGCTTTGTCACTTCTTTTCTGTATTTTTAAGATACTAATTAAAACCATCTCTTGCACAAGTGAGACATAAAAGATGTTTACCTAATGCAAGAGATAAATTAAATATTATTGCTAACATTGTTTTGTAAGACTTCTATGAAACTCAATAGAACAGAAACATGTTAAGAATTAGTGATAAATTGTACAAGCAACTTACCTAGAATCAAATGAAATCCATCAAAGAAGTCGTCATGTGTTTGATTGTGTTTGTGAGGGACTCTTGCTCCACACCAGTATATCCCACCATCGTTTGCTGTTACTTCTCTCACTGTAATGATGATACTCCCGTTGTTCTCTTCCATTATAAACCTCTGGTTCACGTCAGGCTCTGTGCTGGTTACTAGCTGTTTGCATACAGTTGAATCTTCTCCTTTGCAGATGAATTTTATACATGTGGAGGCATCCTGGTTGTACTTACACTGGTATGTGAAGTTCTGTCCAATAGTTGATGGCAAAAGTTCAATATCTGAAGACAAAAAGACAAATATTTGCCTTCAGCTTATCAGCCAGCTTTTATCATTTAAACCTCAGAGACTGAACATGTGGAATACTCACCTATAACTTTCAGGTGTATTTGTGTGTGTGATAATCTGTAACTTCCATCATTTGATTCCACTCCACACCAGTAATCACCAGCATCCTGTGAGTTCACATGACTGATGGAAATGTTAAAGGCACGGCTGCTGCCTGTGAGCGTAAACTTCCCTTTTGACTTTGAAGAAGATTTTGTTGATAAAATGTCCTCACAGGCAAAATGTTTCTTTTTACAGAAGAACTTTATGTGGGACTCGTAAACATCTGGATAACCACATGTGATGGTGCTGTTAGCTGTTGTGTACACGCTGAGAAATGTTCGCGGGCAGTTTGCATGCTCTGTAAACAAATCAGAGAAATAAAGCATTTAAAATTTAGCTCCATAGGCAGCTAGACTTTAAATTGATGAGGACTTGCAGACTATGGAAATTGATTAATATATTATTATTATTATTATTATTATTATTATTATTATTATTATTATTATTATTTGAACAGATGTCACATTTCTTACCAGTCTCCAGTTTTCCTTCCTGTATGTCAGGTGAGTTCGATCTTTGGAAAAATGTACACCTGTACTCCCCAAACTCTCGCTCTTCAACATGTTTTATTGCAACCTTGAGATTTTTATTTCTTGTATCATGGTAGAGGACAAATCTACCATTATCTTCCCACACGTCCTTCTTAAAGCTTTGTACAGGTGTTCCATTGGAAAGAACTACATCAATAGACTGATATTTGTTATTTGTTTCAGGATATTTGCAGGTGATTTCAGCCCATCGATGGTGACATGCTCTCACTTCAGATTCACAACCTGAAAATGAAAGAAAATAAGCTGCTATGCTTACAACCTTTTTTGAGTTTGTGAGCCTCGAGCTTTGTGTAATCATAGATGATTTTTGTATTACCGTAGAATTTTACACATAGTTTTTATACGAACAGATTAAGAAAGGTCAAACTAGAACTAAAACAAACTAGAACAAAATGTGTTGAAAAAAAACTTTAATAATTAATATTCAAGTCTGTTATCACTGTAAGCAACTGTTAGTAATCGTATTACCTGTGGTCAGAGAGAGGATGAGTAGGAGCAGTAACTTCATTATACTGGTTTTGAAGCTTTATGTCTTCGTTGTTTGTCTTCAGTTTGTGTCTCCAGTCTGTTGCTCGGCAGTTTTGTTTGCTGATTTTCAGTTTTTGTGGCCAAAATTTTTCACGCCTACCGTTCTAACCCTCCCTCTTCCTCTCATGGCCCATTCACCACCGCCCCCTCTGACAAACACAAACACAACTTTTTGCATTAAACAGGAAATAAGTGGCTTGTTTGGGTGTGAAAGGATAGTTTGGTAGAAGCATGTGACTGAACATCAGAAATAACTTAATAGTTCTATAATAAAAACTAGGAATGGAATCAGTTATAAGTAAATGAATCTCTTTACACTGCAGACTGAAACGTTTTAGGTTTTAAGGGCAGGAGACTCGGTTCATTTTTAACCACACTCTGTGCTTAATGTGTCATTAAATACATAATGAAGTATCCAGATCTTTTTCATGTTTTTGTGAGGATAATAGTACGTTTAATGTACCATTATCCTCACACACACACAGACCAGGGGGATTGCGACTCGGAAGTGTTCCTGTTCCTGTGGTGTTCCAGCCACACCTGCTGCTCATCACCTGCAGCCAGCTGTAGCAGATTACTCTCATCAGGAGCAACCTAACCCATATGGAAAAGAAATAGAAAAACCTTATAAAAGACTTGCATAAGATGTGGCCTACTTCATATAGTGAATCACATAAGGCTCATATGATTTACTCATGAAAGTGGCCACTTTCTCATTACTTTCATATATTGTTTTAGGAAGTATCCAAAACATAAAAGTTTCATTTATATAATTTTTCAAGGGATCTTTTATCTGTTTTCAGTCTTATATGCTTTTCATACAAGTTTCACACAAGACAGATACAAACTTTATATATATATCTTTTCCATATGGGAAACCCGTTAAGTACAGCCGTCGACTTATATGTTTCAATGAGTAATGACCTCGCTATCAATTGTAGATCACCTGCTGAACTGTGTGTGTGTTTGTGTCACCAGGACTCAGAGCGGAGCGTCTTGCCACAGAGAGAAGTCACGGGTTGGATTTGGGAGTGGCCATCTTTTCATCTTTAGGAATATTTGCAGTGTTAGAGTGAATTGTTAAATGTTGCCATTATTGTACTTAAATTTGTTTGCCTTGGTTCAAACTGTATGAACAAAGTTATTCTTCTGTTTCTATTCTTATCCCCCACCTACATCTGCGTGGGGGAGGCTGTTGGTAAGTGTTTATGGTGAACCATTAAAGTTAAGCCGTATCCAGGTGTGGGGAGGTGACCTTTGGATAACTAGGAAATATGGTTAAACAGTTGTAAGCATATATTGTGTGGCAGGAAGTCACTAATACAGAGACACATTCATTCACATGTTCGCACATGCATACAAACACATACTTAGCTTTTATGGCACACTATATGGGTTTTACATTGTGTAACCAATTTAAACCAGTTTCACTGTGTTTGTATAACCCACGGTGGTCAATAACAGAGCCTGCAAGGGGAGTCAGTTTGAAGTCAGCTCAACATCTTGCCGGACTTCCCTCGCTAGCAAGTGACAACCGTACGGAGTGTCTTGCTTTTGTCCACAGTGACAAACCTCTGCGCCAGCGAGCTCTGACATTAGACCTAACATGCACTGTGTGAGATTCATGGAGGAATCACCACGGGAGCCACAGTGCTGAATGCTGGACATTGTGCTTTTCTGTAAATAAAGCCTCACTGCTCTTCATCAACGTCCTGCTTTTGGGCCCAATTTCCTACCTTCATCTGCTTCTCTCTGCTGAGCCTCTTAACAGCTGTGACTGTAAGAAGAGAAGTGTTGAAACGATCAATGTGCAAGTGAGCAAGCTTTTACTGGGAAAACATTTCTTTATCTAATCAACTTTATTTAACTCAAACTAGAACCAATACTTACTCAGTGGCTCTCCAATGTGTAGCTTCAAGTTTAAGAGAACAAAATTCTGGTCAACTTTTTTTGGACCTCCAACTTTGCCTTGGTGCCTTGATCAACTCCAACTCAGATAATCCAACTGGTAACAGCAGTGATGATGACAATAAAAAGGATTATCAAAAAGAAAGGGAAACGTCTCTCACAGCATGTGTTCTTTTACAGAACTGCATGTTTAACAAGTAAACCAATATTATCTATTATCTATTTTAGATTTTTATATTATATATTATCCGTTTCCACAAACACAATATCTAAAATCTGATTTTATTTTTTAAAATATAAATTAAGGATGAATTTGATATCAGGAATATGTTTTAAAAAGTTGATGCATGGGTCTCCCATCACCTCGTCTTTCATCAGAAGTCTTTGGAACAGAATTCCACTATTTGGTTCCCTCAGTCATGGCCTCTTCATGCTTATTGGGGTTAACAGCATCAGATTGCTTTATTTGCTGCTTTGATGCTACAAAAACATTCCATGAAAATTAGTTATTCAATTATTCATGGTGTGGGCTAGAGGTAAAAATCCATGGCTTCCTTAATTAAATACATTTTAATGTACAAAAATACATAAAAAAAACCCCCCACAAAGATCACACGGCAGCTCCTGCCTGGGTTCGAACCAGGACTCTCATCAAATAGCTTGAGTCTAGCTAAGACAAGCAAAGTGAAAGCAACACTCAGAACATTGTTTTGTTAGATTATCTAGCCACCAATATCTCAGTGGAGGAAATGTAGACAGCATTTAATTGGGCTATAAAGAGAAATGAATTCCACATAATTTCGGAATCATGTTGAGTTTATTGAAGCTTTAGAGATGCTGCGAGTTTATTGAAAGAGAGTCTTTGTCTTTCACAGAAAAAACTTGCATTAAAAGAAAAAAGGGGGGGGGGGGGTAAAACAACTGCATCTTTTAAAAAGGCTCGAGGCCGACATGACTCTAAAATAAGACATCTAAGCATTGTATTTACTAATCTTATGTAAAAAGTGTGGTGGTTAATAATACCCACGTACTTTACCCCCCCACCCTCACCTTCACTACAGAGTCCAATCCCCACTCTCCTACCTCCCTCGCTTCCCCCCCTTCCTGACACCATGACACCCCCCTCCTCCAATCCCTCTCTCAGCAGCAAGACATCTCCCCCCCTCCTCCCAAACATCTCCCAGTGTCACAGTGGATCAGGTCAGGAGACAACTGAGGAAGCTTCGCCCCAGAAAGGCAGCAGGCCCAGACAAGGTGTGTCCTAGGATGCTAAAGGCGTGTGCTGCTGAACTTGGGGAGCCGCTACAACGAGTCTTCAACCTCAGTCTGCGACTGGGGAGAGTGCCCGCCCTATGGAAGACATCCTGCATCGTCCCGGTCCCCAAAAAGAACCGGCCCAATGAGCTGAATGACTTCCGACCGGTGGCACTGACGTCACATCTTATGAAGACTCTAGAGCGGCTCTTCCTCAACCTCCTCCGACCACAGGTACAACATGCCCAGGACCCACTACAGTTTGCATACAAGGCGGGTGTCGGAGTGGAGGATGCCATCCTGTACCTCCTACACAGAGCCCACTCACACCTGGATGGGGGAAAAGGCACGGTCAGGATCCTGTTTCTTGACTTTTCCAGTGCCTTTAATACCATCCGGCCCTGTATGCTTCAGGAAAAACTGAACAGGATGGAGGTGGACCCCTGCCTGGTGGCTTGGATCTCCGACTACCTCACCGACAGACCACAGTACGTCAGGCTGAAGGACATCACGTCTGACACGTGGTCAGCAGCACAGGAGCACCACAGGGAACTGTGCTGTCCCCTCTTCTCTTCACCCTGTACACCTCTGACTTCTGCTACAACTCTGAATTATGCCACATTCAGAAGTTTGCAGACGACACAGCCATCATGGGGTGTATCTGGGATGATCAGGAAGAGGAGTACAGAAGTCTGGTGAGGAACTTTGTCGCATGGAGTCACACAAACCACCTGCAACTCAACACCTCAAAGACTAAGGAACTGGTTGTGGACTTCGGGAGGTCCAGAGAAGGTCCACTGCCGGTTCAGATAGAGGGGGAGGAGGTGGAGGTGGTCAACAAGTACAAGTACCTCGGGCTGTGGGTGGACAATAAACTGGACTGGTCATGCAACACAGAGCACCTGTATAAAAAAGCCCAAAGCCGACTGTACTTCCTCAGGAGGCTGAGGTCTTTTAACATCTGCAGGAAGCTCCTGAGGATGTTTTACCAGTCAGTGGTTGCTGGAGTACTTTTCTATGCTGTGGTGTGCTGGGGGAGCAGCACAGCAAAGAAGGACTCATCCAGGCTGGAGAAACTGATCAGGAAGGCTGGCTCTGTGGTCGGCATGAAGCTGGACACTCTGGTGACAGTGGCAGAGAAAAGGACACTAAAGAAACTGCTGGACATTATGGACAATGCTGGGCATCCTCTGCACACGGCCATAAACAACCAGAAGAGTCTGTTCAGTGACAGGTTGCTTCTCCCCAAGACAAGAACTAACAGACTTAAAAACTCCTTTGTCCCACACGCCATCAGACTGTTTAACTCCTCTCTGGAGGGGAGAGGGAGGGGAGACAGGAGGACAAAGGAGGGGGGAACAACTAAGCTGTAGTGCCTCTTCACCTCACTGTGCAATACCTTTGTGCAATACTTTTGTAAATAGTCAACAGTGCAATAGACTCAATACTTGAAATGTGCAATTCACTTGTATTTTTATTTTTATTCCTATTTATTATATTTATCCCCTTCGTATATTTTATTTATATTGTCTCTGTATTTATATATATGTGTGTGTGTGTATAACTCTGTAACTTCTGTCGGTGCTGTGCTTTTTTGGAAATCGAATTTCCCAGAGGAACCCACCCGAGGGATTAATAAAGTTCTATCTAATCTAATCTAATCTTCTGTTTTTGTATTTGCTGTTTATTTGCTCTCAGACTGTTTAACGTCTCTGGGTTGCAGCTGAAAGAATAAGGCTACAATTTTTGTATATTGATTTTCTAATCTCACTACAGACCCTAACACTATGTTCAAAGAGCTATTATAAATGCTATATAACTGCACAGCACTACTCTAACATACTGCTGCTTTGGTTGTGAAGTCTGCATTTATGTGTCTAACCTCTTGGTATATATAGATTTTTATTTTCTAAAATATATCACTCTGTTGACAGCTCACCTGTCCAAGTTTTATAATTGTTTGTCATGTACTGCCAACGACACTCTTTCATGCTCAGAGTTGACTCCTGGACTTCATTTGATTGCTTGAACTGATGATTGATGTTAAATGAAACTGAACGATGGACAGATATCACGGCTACGTGAAACTTGCTTTATTATACAGTCAACAAAACGACATATAATTACAGGTTAATTCTTTAAGGACACCTCCTCTGCCTAATAACATTTGAACATCTTAAAATACATTATGATCTCTTTTTTCTTTAACAAAAAATACACAAATGGAGCTTGACATAAATATAAACATGATTTACAATAAACAGCAATCGATGAAGCTTCAACCCTGTCATGATCAAGGGCAGATTTCTGCTCAGAAACTTTTGAAGCAACCAGGAATTAATTTTTAAGCTCTTTCCTTCAAATTCATTTTAATGGGATAAACTCCTCAACGTCTAAACAAACATTTGTACAGAACAATACAGAACACATAATACAACAAAGGCAGATCATATATAACTAATTCAGAACAACAACAACGGATTCAGCTGCTAAAGACAAACAAAAAACTAAAGGTGACAAATTCCAATCAGCAGGAACCTAAAACATAAAGGTTTTTCACAAACTTCTGCCAGTACAAAAGAGACCTTAATGAGGATCTCAACAGAACATTTTAGAGCACGACTTGAAACAGAAGGAACAAAAAAATTGTTTTAGACAATCAAGATAAGAAAATCAAGTCAAAGTCACTACATTTAATGATGATTTGGTACGATTTTATATATCACAAACTTATGTCTTAACCAAGGTGAAGATGTAAGTCTGTAAGATGACAGAGTCTGTAAAACATAGTAAAAAGAACATATATATATATATATACAATATCAAGAAAATGAAGACAATCTTTGTCTAATGTTGAATGAAAACAATGATCATCTCTGGTGAAGCGCAATAAGAGGAAGAGGAGACTGAAACCACATCAGTGCATGCTGGGAAAGACCAATAACACTAAGCTCATCTAAAGAAAGAAGAATGAACTTGTATTTATCATGTTGCTCTTTCTTGTTTGTTTCCTCTTCTGTTTTTTCTTATCTCCATACAGGTGATCCAGGTGTTGTCTTTGTTTTTCCTTTTTTTTCTTCCCCCCTTTCTCACCATCTCTTCTCCCCGCTCTATTTTTCTTTCTCTCCCTCTCTTTCTTTCATTCTTTCTCCCTGTCCTATCACCCAGTCATGTCTGTCCTGTCTGTAACATCCGAAAACCAAATAAAATAAATACATAATTATAATAAAGGTCAATCAAATGGACCAATATGGCAAGGCTATGATGATCCAGTTGGTAAAGTAAAGCCGCTTGGCATCTTTCTTGGCCTTCAAACAACAATTCTGATGGCTAAAGATCCAAACGGGACAGGCACAAAAAAAAAAAGAGAAAGAAAGAAAAATGAACCAAGTCAAAAGCTTTAGTCAGACCTACAACTATCACCACTTTAAGATGACCACGATCGGCAGAGAACACGGGATTTTAAGAGAGTATTAGTTGGGAAGTATTTCAATCTGAAAACCCAGTTTATGCTGTGAGAGGATACGATTATTATTAAGGTACAGAAATAACTGATTATAATTTTTTTCAGTCACTAAATGAAAGAATGTGATTGTGGATAAAAGTGATAGAAATGAGATAAGTGAGATAAAGTGAGGACCACTCAGCAGGGGCTTGAAGTAGAGCCACTCCTCCATGAAAGGAGCCACTGGGAGTTCTAATTGAAAAAGGGAAGGTAGGGAAGAAATTCCCTCTACTCAGGCCGCCCATATTCTTCTCTTCTCTTCACCGGCTCCACTTAGTTCAAAACGCAGCTGTCAAATCGTACTAGTCAACTTACATTGGCTCCCTGTTGAAGATCGTATCAATTTCAAAATTATCTTGCTTACCTTTAAAATTCTAAACAATTTGGCTCCCAGCTATCTGTCTGAACTCCTCCGTTTGTATATTCCTAATAGAGCACTAAGATCTTCCAATCAGATGCTCCTGACGCAACCGAGGTCTCGTCTGAAGTCCAGAGGTGATTGGGCCTTTGCTATCGTAGCACCCCGACTCTGGAATAACCTCGCTCCTTATATTTGTTCCTTCGAGTCCATCCAGTCTTTTAAATTGCATCTTAAAACTTATTGTTTTAGTCTGGCTTTTAATTCAAACTAGTTGGTAATTTCGTGGCTAGTTATGCTGTTTACCCATATTGTTTTCTTGCCCTCCTTTTCACTGTTTTTATTCTAACTGTCTTATATTATTGGTCTGACCAACTGCAAAGCACTTTGATCAACTTTGTTGCATAATTATGTGCTATAGAAATAATTTTTGATTTTTGTTGATTTCAAGAATCACACTGTGGTTGTACAGCAGAGTAATGTGTGCACTTTTCCAGATAGATGACATTGAGTGATCGAAAGATAAAAATCAGGATTGTTTAGGATTTTTTAAATCATTTTTTAAATCATTGCTTAAATAACTAACTAAGAAGTTTGGTGTTAATCAGTCTTAGATGGACTGATGTAATAACACAGATGTAATGACCTGAATCCTTGGCCATACAGGTTCTGTAATTTATACATTTCTAACAAGAGAAATGAACTCTAATTCCCGTTTTAGTTTTTTCCCGTCCTTTTGACTCTGGAGTACAAAGACTCCTCTGTAGGTCTGTGTAGCTGATTAACAGATGAGTTGGTCGGACGTTTGCTGAACGTCACAGCAGAATATTTGTAGGCAGAGGAGCTGGGTTTGACAGTCAGTGTCTCACCACCAGCTCTGTTAGACCTGCTTTGAAAGTTGATGGTAGAGTAATGCAGTGAGTCAGGCTGGTTTGGGGGATTCACAGTGAGATAAACTGTGTTTGTTGCAGTTTCTGAGTCTGGATACTCAAGGTGCTCCTGGAACTCTTCATAGATATTCTCCTGCAGGAAAGAATGAAAACACACCGTTGAACAGTTTATATTTGATCTAACAGGAAACAGGAAGTGCAAATAAAATTCCTGACCAACTCACATTTGAATTGTGATTTTTCTTGTGATAACATTATCAAGCAAGCTGCAGTTAGCCAGCTGGCTACAACTTAACATTGATGCACTGATCTGGTAACGGTTAGGTCATAATTTCTTGAGTATATTCACTCAAGATCATTAAGAAACTGGTTTCCTCTAACAAACACATTTTATTGGTAAAATGGGCTTCATCACATGAAAGCAAGAAGCAACCCAGCTGAAAAATCCCCACCCGAAAGTGCCAGAAACTTGAGCTTCTCTCCACCTGCATCTTACCCCAAAAGCAAGGTAATCTCCATAAACTACCACGTTATAATGATCACCAATACAGGATTAAAACGCCTGAACAAAAAGTGGTTTTGGTCTCACTGTGTAGTTTCTCCAAGTATGACAGCTCTATGGAGGTCCCCGCCTCTCCTCCAGTTGTACACTGAGCAGTGGCTCCTCACGAGTGTGTGTGTTGAGCCCACTGCTCTACACCCACTACAGACTGACCTGCTCACTCCAGCAACAAGTGTGACAAGTGCAATACCCATAGGTTGTGTTTTTATTGTTATTTATTCAAAATGCTGCAACTGGGAGTTGCTTCTATTTTCGTTGAACATTTGATGTTTAATGATAATAAAAGAATAGTTATCCTGATTCTGACTTTTTACAATTCATCCATATAGAAATCGTAGTCACAGCTGTGACAACTCTGACTTGTGTTCCATTTTAAATCAGGTATCTTGAACTGGCTCAAGTCAGACTTCCAGTTCATAAAGATATAGCAGTCCCACCAAGCCTGACTTAACACTCCACAGCTGTGAATGTAAATAGTAGTAAAACTGTAAGACATGTTTAAGAGCTTTATCCAGGCTCTGGATGTGAGTGCGCTGCAGCTGTGTTTTCAAACAAAAACAACAAGCACTGATGGATGAAAGGTGTTCTAAAGAGAGAAAAATCCTGCATTTCTCTGCTTTTCCAACTTAATGCTTAGTTATTGTTACTGTAACAAGCTCAACTGAGGAGTCACTCCCAGCTCAACCATCTGACTTCTGAGGCATTACATTAATAATACTAATACATTACAATACAATAGAGTGAGCAGACATGACACATGGCACAGCCTAAGTCACTCACTTCTTTTATATTCTGCACAGCTGCTTCATTTCCTGTGTTTTGTAATTTTGAAATTCCTGCCAAACAGAAAAGAAATAGTGCAAATTGAACAAATTTCTACAAATCTCATAAAAATTAATTCAATTTCTTCCACGAGCTCAATGACCTTTAAAGAAAGAACTGTAAGAGTTTCATTGATAATGTAGTATTTACATATTACATATTAAAATATCAATTTCAAAAAGCAAACAAAAAATGAATAGAAGCTGCTAACATCATCCTGTCTGCTGTGGGATTTTAGACATCATATGTACAAAACACAGGGAAGGAAGTGATGGTCGTTCTGTGCTCCACAAATGAATAATAAAATGTACTTACGTTTGTAGATAAGGATCAAGACGATCACAAACACCAGCAGCAGCAGCAGCAGCAAAGTGACACAGACGATCACAACAATCACTACATCTGAGGAAATGAAGGCAAACAAAAAGTCAGCATGGCTTTATCTCCCAGACTGTGGACGCTTGTGTAATTTTATTTGAGACTGTAGAGAAATTTAAATAAAACTGTTCTTTTTAAACCTCGTGAACATCTTCACCTCACTCGTGTTCAGCAACAGTTTTAAAACATGGAATGGGTCTTGGTTGGAACTCAGTTTATCATGTTCGTAGTGACAACCAAGAATTAAAACATTAAGTGTAATCTCTTACCATGACTTTTAGAAGCTGCATCAGGTGCTGTGTTTGCAGGCCCATCTGTTTATGAGGACAAACGTTTTATTTTCTTCATATAAGACAAACAAATCAAATATAAATGCATATGCATATGCAATGTTCAGTCGTGTTCGGGGAACAACCAACAAACTCTGAGCCTGGAAGCGAAGACAACAGGCAGTGGTGTATTTTATAAGAAGCTTGGATAAATAATCTGGGGCCTGGCCATTTAGTGCTCTATGATAAAACAAGAATTTTAAAACGAATTCTAAAATCTATTGGGAGCCAATGTAAATAATATAAAATGGGGGTAATGTGAGCACGCTTGCTAGAGCATGGTAGTAGCCTGGCCGCTGCATTTTGTATAGCTTAGAGGCGAGAAAGAGATGATTTGTCCAAGCTGGTAAACAGGGCGCTACAATAATCTAAACACGATGACACAAATGCATCAACAATGTTTTATAATTCAGCTGAGGAACCCATATGTTGGAGTTTAGAAATGTTCCTTAAATGAAAGAAGCAGGAAGGAGTTCCAGAGAAGAATCAAAGCTTACTCCAAGATTTTGAATATTTGACTTGGCAGAAGGAAAGAAAGAGGCAATAACTTGACTGATTTTAGACTGTAGTTCTTAAGGAGCTACAGTCATGGTCTCTGTTTTATTTTTGTTTAAAACAAGGTAATTGTTAGAAAGCCAATCAGAGATTTGAGTTAAACACTGGACTAAGGTGGACAGCCTACCCAGCTGGTGAGGCTTAAAGGACATATGCAGCTGAATGTCATCGGCATAGACATAATAAGATTGAATTATGCCAGCTAAAGGAAGAATATAAAAAGAAAATCATAATAGACCCGAAACCGAACCCTGTGGAACCCCACAGGTTAGGGGGGTAATGTTAGAGGTAAACCTGTCAGTCCTAACAGAAAAGGTCCTATCTGATAATTAGGAAGAAAACCAGGAAGATCCAGATAGGCCAGCCAAAACCTTCAACCTGTTAAGTAGAATTTTATGGTCAATGGTATCAAAGGCAGCATGGTGGTTAGCACTGTTGCCTCACAGCGTGGGTTCTCCCCGGGTACTCCGGCTTCCTCCCACAGTCCAAAGACATGCACTTTGTGGGGATAGATTAATTGAAAAATCTAAATTGCCCATAGGTGTGAATGCAGGAGCGAATGTGAGTGCGAATGATTGTCTGTCCCTGTATGTTGGCCCTGCGACAGACTTGCGACCTGTCCAGGGTGTACCCCGCCTCTCGCCCTATGACAGCTGGGATAGGCTCCAGCACCCCCCGTGACTCTGACAAGGATAAGTGGAAGCGAATGGATGGATGGTATCAAAGGCTGCACTGAGGTCAAGCAAAATGATCACAGAACAATCCCCATTAATAAATCATTATAGACCCTTAAGAGAGCAGTCTCAGTGGAGTGATGCTTTTGAAAGCCAGACTGAAAACGGTCCGCAATCTATAATCTGCATACTAAGGACCTGAACAGATTTTCTACATTTCTTTACAGTAATTTGCTTAAAAATGGCAATTTTGAAATAGGCTGGTAATTACTAGTAGAGCGAGGATCTAGATTCTGTTTTTTCAATAGAGGAGTAACCTCAGCATGTTTAAAATAGGATGGAACACAACCTTGCCTCAGTGTGCTGTTGATGACGGATAGCAATGTGGGACCAATGCTGCTGAGAGTCCCAGACAGGACAAAGGGAAGTAATGGTGAGGTTTTCATTTTACCCATCACTGTAATTAAATCATTAAGTGTGATTGGATGAAAGGAAGTAAATAACCCAGGACACCGAGGGGCATCTTCATAAGGGGAGGCACTTTAGGAGATTTGGGATCTCAAGTCCATCACCTTATTTACAAAATGATGGAGAAAAGTATTACAATCTTAATCAGAAGGTAACTTGCTGAGTTGGAGGAGAAACAATACTGTTGATGGTATCAAATAGAATTCTTGGGTTATTCTTATGACGATTTATAAGATTATTGAAATAAGAGGATCTAGCCTTTTTCACAGACTCGTTTTATAAGTGAAGAAGATCTTTGAATTGCTCACGATGGACAACCAGACCAGTGAACTTCCAGAGACGCTCTGCTTTCTGACAGGAGCGTCGAAGACCACAAGATTAAGTGCATATGAGAGCATGAGGGTGGGAATGGATGTTTGTGTCTGTGTGTGCCTGTATGTCTGTGTCTATATGTCAGGTTGGGTATCAGGCGCCACCTCTCTGGGGACATCTCAGGCCCTCCAAGGTTTGGAGGCCTATCTCCCCCACTACTTCCCCTGCCAGTGGCGGACTCCCTCAGACATCGGTGCGTTGGTGGTTCTTTGTGTCTGGGGATGGGCGTCCAGGTACACACCGGCTCACTCCTTGGCGGCCGCTTATCGGGGCCTGGAGCCTGGGGCTCGCTTCGGATGGCCCCCGGCCTCTCGGCCTGGGGCTCGGTCACTCAGGCACGGCTGGCTGCCGGCGGAGCTCACGGGCGCGTCACTGCAACTCCCCCTGGCTTCTGCTCCGCGGCTGCTGAGTGAGCCCTCATCTGGGACTCTCCTCAGCTCTTTCTGGGACAGTGGGCGGCTGCCCCTCTGTTGGTCTTCCTTGGTCTCTTGTGTTCTGGGGGCCTCTGGATGTCTGGAGTTTTGATCTCCTCCATACCTGCTTCATGCCCTGGAGGACGGGGCTGTGGCCCCCCCACACCCTCTAGCAGATCATTACATGAAGGAACCTTTTAAAAAACAAGCGCGTCCATGCTCACAGGTGTACACACGGGTGATCACACCCACAAACTACACCCTTTTTGGCTCCTACCTCAAAGCACACTGTGTTCTGTTGATCTTATGTGCTGCACAATAATGTTTAATATTTAGTATTTACTGTCATATTCCCATATATCATTGTGATGTTGTTTATTCTATTACTCTTGTTCTCTTCTGCTTGTTTTCTTTTTTCTTTCTCAGCAGGTGATCCAGGTGATTGATATATGCATTTTTTTTTCTCTGCCCGTTCTGTTGGTTTTTGTTTTTGCCCTTCTCCCCCGTCCCTCTTCTCAGCTGTTTCTCTTTCCCTCTTTCTTTCTCCCCCTTCCAGTCAAGTCTGTCCCGTATTCAGTAAGTGAAAATAAAATAAACAATAAAAGGTGAATCAAATGGACCATTATGGCAAGGCTGGGATGGTCAATTTGGTAAAGTAAATCCGTTGGGCATCTTTCTTTGCCTTTAGACAACAATTCTGATGCAAAAGAGCCAAACGGGACAGGCAGAAAAAAAAAAAAAAAAAAGAAGATCACAAGATTGATTATTTAACCAGGGTGTACTGGACCGAACAGATACAGATAGGAATCTGATATGAATTTGCATAATAATGTATACTATCAGTCATCAATTTCATTAATTTCTTTTTTTTCTAAAAGCAGGTTTTAAAATAAGAAAAAACCCCAATGTTCCACAGTTTTACTCCACAAATGGAAACACAACAGGTTTTAACTGTTATCATTAAGTCTTCAGATTTCGCCGCAGGTTATTCTCTGCGGAAAACAACATCCTCTGTACATAACAGAGTAACATAACATAATTATAATAATTATACATGTATATAATTTGGCAATTTTATATTTTATGAATTCCATGAACTTCATGATTTTAGTCTTTAAAAGTAGAACATTAGTGTGGTCTCTAAATCCAGCTTGATTAATGATCCTGATTGCTTTTCTCTGAGGTTTACACCATAGTTACATAGACGTTGTGTGTGTGTGTTACCTCAGACTTCCACACAGTACTCTAGGTACAGCAACATGAATGAATACTAAAATGCACGGTGATTTATAATGCTAAAAATGCTTTTGCTCAACTCAGTACAAAAATGCTTTGTGACAGTTTGTGTGCTTTTATGTTGCACCCTGAAATTTTGCATGAAAGACTCGCCTTCAACAACAAGAGACAGTCCTCGTCATTAAAGCCTTTTCTTTTCTATAAGTGAAACATATGAAATAAAAACCTATATCATTGAGTTCTACTGCTAAACTTTTTTTTTTTGCTTTTAAAACTTTAAAAAACAACTTTTAAATACATTTCAGATATTTGATTTGGCATGTCTTGAGTTATTATACCAGACATCCTTGCTGATGTAACCCTGCAGTTTGTGTCTCCTCCCACTCATGAACTGAGAATCTTTTGTGTTTTAGATGCATTTGTAAAGTATTGCATCATGGAGCCACTTAAAGAATCACCTTAAATTAAAAACAAAACAAAGAAAACCCCAATATCTTGGAAAGTGTTGACTATCAGGGAGCCTACAATGTAATGAAAACCACTGAAGAAGTCCGCAAACTACACTGTGTCAAACCAGTGTCGCTGAAAAAATAGACAATATTTTATGGATAGGAAGTGTCGTTGTCAGTGTTGCATTACCCTGAAAAATGTGAACTTGGTGAGGTTAATTTAAACTACATTTTAAATGACAGAAGACAAAGATTTAAAAAAAGAATTTCAAAACTGAAGCGATTTCAGTTGTGGCTGATAATTTCCTGCTATTGCGTTTCTGTGGGTTACAGGAGGTGCAGGAAATGAAAACACAAACAGCAGCAGCTTTACATGCTACTGCTGTGCTGTGTTGCTGTTAGAGTTATAATAACAGAACTGACTTTTTACAGGAATGGGTCTTGGTTGGAAATCAATTTATCATGTTCGTAGTGAGAACAAACAATTATTTATTTCAGTCACTCCACTTAGAGAAGGACCATGTGGTTTAAAATCAAGACTAAGTGTGTTGATCAAGCAGCAAACTTTGGGGATAATAAATGATGCCAATGTGGAACTAACACAATCTATAGTTCCTCTAATAGACTATGTGCACCTTAGCATATGCTGCCTCCGGTGAGAAAACTGTATAGCGCTTTGTTTCCAGTGCGATATTCATGCCTTGTTTACGGTCCGGTTTTCCCAAAACAAGTCAACCAAATGGATGAATCAACAGCAATTTACATTTCTCTAGATGTCTTGGGCATTTACCAAATATATCTGTAGATGATGTTCATTGTCTTCATCGTGATATTTTTTCCCCCCGAGAGAAAGGATTATCGAGGGTGTTATGTTCTAAAAATAACCCACAATAGGTGAAATCCACAAAGTAGCCAACTTTATTTTTTACAATTATTTTAGATGTTTTAAGGCTGTAAACCCCTCACTACACACTTTATACACTTTTCCCATACAGACATGAACATTTTCACACTTTTCTCTCTTGTTTCTCTCAAGGTTCAAACCTTTGTGGAAAAATAAGTCCAGTATTATTGAATGAAACCAAAGATCAAACCCTGTTTTCAGGTCCAGAGCATGGGAATAGAGCAGCTGCGAGAGAATTCAACACTAATGAATCAGAAGTCCAAATTTTTGCGCTTCCTCTGCCTTTTGGATGCTACCGCAGGTGCCTTTGAAAAATGTTTCGTCGGCATTGTGTTTGTTGGGGGGAAACTTACAAACATACAGTACTGCACTTCAGAGTCTCACTGCTAGCGATCGATGTAGCGATTCTGTACAGGAGAGACGGCACGGAGGAGATCGACAATGGTCTACAACTGATTAGGAAGCAGAACACAATGCACTGTAAAAAAAAAATAAAAATGCAAAAGTGCACTAATAAAAATCAGCGAAATAGGCCGCAAAAGGTGAACCATGTTATAGTGAAGGACCGCTGTAATGCAGTTCTGCTTTTGTTGAGTGATGTAAACAAACAATCGATTGTACGCTCTTCAAACGTCAAAATTGATCATTAGATTTTTTATGACACAGCAATGGTGATTGTTCCCACCTTCTGCTCTTTGTAATTTAATGTGATCTTTGTGTTTTTGTATTTTGGACATGATTTTGGAGTCCATCTTCACAGTAACAACTGACTGCAAAATAAAGTTACGGGAAATGTACAACTGTACATCCGGTCTTAAAACAGGGACGGCTGCTACTAAAAATCCCTTTCTTCACATCAGCTGTATGCGGGTAACTCTTTTTAAAATAATGATTGCATTTCTCACAGTTAGCAGCTGCTGTGACTGCAGCACCTTTTGTGTGGTGCAGCTCATCCACGTTTGCGCTATTTCATTAGTACATTTATAGTATTATAGTCTTTCTCAGCATTGATGAACAGATATTTGTGTGTTGCAGTCATATAGTTCAAAAATGCAGCTTGCTAGAATTAACTAATAATTTTGCACTACATCAGATTATGTAAATATTATCACCTCTGGTTCCAAAAAACAACCTGATGGTGTCCAAAATCCAAACATTCAGACTTTTAAAAAGTTTAGAAAGAAACAGATGACAGGTCAGTGGACACATCCATCTTTCATGTTTGGGCAAACTTTAGCTTTTTACGTTAGAAACTACGTTTAAATACGTTTTAAGAATTCCTGTAATGGAACTCCTTTTGTGGTTTACTGTACATCTCAAAGTGACTCCTTTTGTTGATAGTCCTTACAGAATTATTATAATTTGAAATAATATAAAAATCGTGACTCACCTACAGTCAGGAACAATCTGCCAAAGAAAACGTTGCTTGTTTGGTTGTCGGGTCTTTCTGCTCCACACCAGTATGTCCCGCTGTCATTTAATGTTATTTCTCTCACTGTTATAGTAATTTTATTCTTTGTATCACTCATAGAAAACCTGTTTATGTGAGTCTTTCTGTTGTTTATGAGAGGCTTACATATAGATGGCTCGTCTCCCTTACAGAAAAATTTTTTAAGTGAGGAGATATCCTGGTTGTATTTACACCAGTAGGTGAAGTTCTGTCCAACAGTGGCTGATTTCTTTATTGCATCTATAGGAGTAGAAAATAGAAAAAAAGAAAAACATGATATATTTGAGACTTGTTTTCGTGTATTTGAAACTCAGAAGCTGAAAATACGTAATACTCACATAGGGGCGCTGGGGTTAAGAGGTTAATTTTTACTCGTTTGAGTGAAAATCTTCCCTCATTTGATACCACTGCGCACCAGTAGACACCAGTATCCCATCGGGACACATGACTGATAGAGGCGCTAAAGCCATGGCTGGTGAGAATGAATAATCCTTTTGACTTTTGAGGATCAGGATGAGTTGTTAATAAAATATCTTCACAGGTGAAATTGTTCTGTCTGCAGAAAAACGTGAACCCAGACATGTAATCATCTCCAGGAGAGTCACATGTTTTTTTGTACAAAATGAGATTCAGTGTTCGTTGGCAGCTCTCAAGCTCTGTAAAGAAAACAGTGAAATCAAATATTTGTCATCTTATGAGGACTTGGAATGTTTCTTTCATGTTCAAATTAATTTTCCTAAGTCTTTTGGCAATGATTTGAAATACATGGGGAATAGATCTCTTAGGTCTCTCATGATCCAGTTCATTTTTATAATAATAATACTACTACTACTAATAATAATAATAATGATAGATGTGCTACATTTCTTACCAGGTTCTGGTTTCTCGTCTTTTCTGTCAGTCGAGTTTGATCTTCGGTTTAATTTACACTTATCTTTAAGGTCTTTAATGGCTGCATGGTGATTTTTCCTTTTTGTATCATGGTAAAATCTGCCTTCAGTTTCATCTTTCTCAGAGCTTTGAGTGGTTGTTTCATTGGAATCGACTATATCATTGTCTTGATGTGATTTATTTATTTCAGGATATTTGCAGGTGTCTTGAAACCATCCTTGGTGACATGCTTTCATTCCAAAGCTGACTTCATAACCTGCAAATCAAAGAGACAGTTATATTACATCATATTCTGCAAAAGGAATCTCATTCTCATTTTACACTGTCAGCTACACGCAGTCCGGTTTGATCTTAACCTCTATAGTGTCTCACGTTTGATATGTGAGATTTTGTGACTTCTATATCATCAGTGTGAGTCCTCTTGAAAAATCTAAAAAAAAAAATGTGCATAACACATTTTTAAGTAATAAACAGAAAAAAATGCCAGAATTAGCAAATATACAAATTAAAGTATTTCTTCAATTGTCAGAAAGTTTAATAAATGCTCCAGTTAAAAAAAATATTCTGGTAATCATTTCATGGTTCAGACATAAGTGAAAATGCCCTTCCAGTCCAGCACGTCTCAGTTTTTCTGGACCTAATAAAGAAATGCTGTCAGCACAAATATTTGAGCTTATATTGTAATAAATAATTAATAATAATAATAATAAAAAAGTGACAGAAAAATGTACGTCCTATAATTATAAAACAGAAATGGTTTGTTAATGCAGAGTTTGTTTTCTTTTACTGTGAACCCATTTTTTTCACATAAAAAAAAAACCTAAAGATCGACATTTGTGTCACAGAAATTACTAGATTTTTACTAGATAGTAGATGAAGTGATGAAGAAGAATGAAAGGCATTATTTAGTATTTCTTATCCCACAGAAATAATATATTTGCACCACAGTGATATGTTTAACATGATGATTTTTATAAAATTTGCACATATTAAGAATTTTCCCTGCACCACATGTAAATGTTTAAATTCATCATTAATTGTGTGTTTATGATTATCACAACTGTGTGTATGTGACAGCAAATTTTTAAGTAAATTAAAATATTGTACAGTGTCTTTTCAAAATTATTGTTCAGTTTGTGAGTCTGAGATTTTTATTATTTGCAGCTGGATTTCCTTCAGGTTCACTGTCAGACTGTTTCTACATACAGTTTGCATCCCTTTAGTGTTAAGCGGTCTTAAAAAAGATTACACCACATCAAAAATACGTTTGTTATCTATAATATTATACATTCAGATACACTCTGAGTGTTAATGTGTTAGCAAATGAATGTTTGTACCTGTCGTTATTGAGAGGATGAGTAGCAACAGAAACTTCATTATCTGGTTTTGGATGTTTGTTTAAGATCTTGAAGTCTGAATTATTTATCTGCGGTTTGTTTCCTGATGTCTTTTTCCCTCCTCGGTCTGTTGGTCTGCAGTGATCTTTCATCAATTTCGGTTTTAAGTTACCTAAAATCTTCCTGCCCCACTTTTCAATCTGTCCATTTTTTTTGTCTTAAACAGCTCCTTCCGCTTTGTATGTTGCTTCCTCTAATTGGTGGTAAACAGGAAATAAATGGCGTGTGTGGTGGAGAATCATATCACGCTTTGATTAACGGGAAGTCTTGAAACTGCGTGACAAAAATAGCAGTTTGTAGGTATTATAGAAAACTGCTTTTATCAGTTAGAAGGAGACGGGTTTCTTTTGTTTGCACAGTTCAGTAATGTAAACTGAGCTTCATGGATTTCAACATATAAAGGCGGCTCCTGTTTGACAGTACTAAGCTAACTTTATGGGGAAAAAAAGTCTGCAACTATACTACTATACTATAAATGTAGTAGTAGTAAAGCTGTAGTGATATTAATATTATGATGAATTGTACTTATGATTAATATAAATGTATCTATGATGGTTCTGCTGGTTTCCCAATCTACCAGCTTGCATCGTTAATGAAATTTTCAAACTAATTTTGAAGAACTTTTTTCCGTCTAGATCGACAAATGACATGTTAATTTAACTGCTGATTGCTGTGCAACTGCTGTGCAACTGCTGTGCAACTCCGACATGGCAAAAAAACAAGCCAGCCCTGGCATTTTTGGTCCAGACGGCCCATCATACTTATATATGTCAGATATATATCATTTTGTTTGATTATAGATATTAAAAACAGGTTTGAATCAGGTTGGTACAGTTGATGTTTGTTGGGTTAGTTCTTGCTTGTACCACCAAGTAAGAACTAAGAACCAAATGATAGGAGTGATGATTTCTAAAGCTCAAGGTGTATAAACAGACGTGTTTTCTCATTGGTGTCAGCTCAATATAAATACACAACAACATTTTATTTAGGTAATAGTTTATTTACAAGAAGCAGGAACAGAAAAGTGTTCAAAGTTTCAGATGTATTGTACATGAAATGGGATTTAAAATCTGATCAGTAAGCCAAGTAAAGATGCGTCGGAAGTTAATCTGGTTCTAGATAATGGCTCTTTACTGCAGGTGGTATTAGTGGAATGGACTTCACTCCATCTCAGTACAGATAATGTACACTGTATGCTTTAGCTGCAAGGTTGGCGACCCTCAAATAACACTGGAGTGAGAACAATATGATGGGAAAGATGAGACAAGAACATTTTCTCACTGCTTTGTCTAAACGTGCCTGCTGCCACTTCCCCATCAACCTTATGCATGGAAATATCACCAGTTAAACAAAAACAGTGTTTTTAAGTAATTTATTTTTGCTCTAAACAGTGATCTTGTTGTGTTAAACTAACCTCAGATGTTGTAAAAAGTAGCACCCACAGCACATCTGTCTCATTCTCCCCAGTAAAACATACCAAGAGGTTTTTCTGTGATCCCTGTAAAATGCAATCATTCAACATTGGCACAAGTGACAAACGCTGAAATCGTTTGTGAATTGTTCATATGTACAGTCTGTCAGTGTTGGGAAAGTTACTTTGAAAAAGTAATTAATTATAGTTACTAGTTACTTCTTCAAAAAGTAACTGAGTTAGTAACTGAGTTACAATATTCTAAAAGTAATTAATTACTTGAAAAGTAACTATTGCGGTACTTTAAAAAAATGTTTAACCCTCTGGGTTCCAGGGTATAATTGGCCATTTTTAACTACTTTTGATGTTTCCTCCACATTTCACCTTTAAAAACTATTTATTTGCCTTGTTTGGTGTCATTCTTTTCAGCACAGCCTCACGTGTCTGAATTTAGAGTCATGTTTTCATTTTGACAGACTGTATTAACACAATTGATCTAAAATCAGACAAAAAACATAAAATCCGAGTAGAAAAACTTATATTTTTTACTGTAACAGCCACAAACATGTTTATTGAATCATATTTCTTAACTTTAAATGCAAATATAAATTGTCAATTTTAAAATCCTATGTACAAGTTTTGCAAAGAACAAAGTTATTTGCAGCCATTTACCTTTTACCTTGATTTTTTAAATTACCATTTCAAACTATTTACAGAACAATCAGCTGTTCTGCATTCAATAAGATGTCACACAAATTATTTGTGCCACTCCAAAAAAATAATTTCTGTCCACTATAAAGGAGAACATCACAGCCTGATACCTGCAGGTCTGACAGCAGCAGGTGTATCACTGTTTCTACCTGGAGACAGCAGTCGCCTCATTGTTCTGACACACAACACAAAACTATCTACAACACTACACACTAACTACACAAGACAACACATGAACTACACACTCCAAACACGCCAATCTCTCAAATCTCTCACATCTCAAAACTCTCTCTCTCTCTCTATCTCTCTTGCTGTCACTCCTAAAACTTTGGTTTTTTTTGCTCATAAGCAGAGAGGTTTCGCTGCGCTGTCCTTAGACAGTAAACGTGACGAAACTATTGAGGAAAAAACGCCGCGTATATCACCTTGTTGCTTTGTCTTGAAGTGGTCATGTGACTGGCTTACCATGACTACTTTATTCTTCCTCAGTCAAACAGCAGCACTCATGCGATTGTTTTGCCCCCTGAGCTCCAGGTGTTGTGCTAGACAGTGATCGTGATTACCGTCCGCGGGAGCGCGCGCAGCTGCTTGAAAAAAGTAACGCCGTTATTCCCATCACTGCAGTCTGTGGGGTTGTTAAAAGGATACCAGGGATGTGTCTCAAAAGTGTTTCAATAAGGAGAGTTCACTTAAAAGAACATGATTTACTGCCATAGAGAAATGATTGTATTTGGCAGTCAGACTCCAGCAGCTCATCATGGCAGAACACAATCCCAGCAGTTTTAGGACAGGACCCACCAGAGTCCAGGTGGTGGTGGTGAGGATGTAGACTGAGGTTTGGATGGCTCCAGCTGAGGTGGGTTTGAGGTTGACAGGGGTGGATTGCATCACTGAGAGTCTAAAAGGGAGAATGATGGAGAGTGCAGATTTAAACCAGTGGAGGCTCAGCATCCTGATATCATTTTATTAAAAATGATGCTGCTATGTGTATTTAAATACAATTTTCTGTAATTTTTATTTAATTCAGTTTGAGGTAAAGGCTTACTCTGACTTACTGCAACATGAACATGATCAAGGCTTTTTTGCTGAATATGGAGTCTTTTAAGTTAAACATAACCACGCCAAGAGAATAAAGACATTTTCAGTTTGATTTGAAAATAGATTTCCTTTCAAATCTTGGATTTAACTATTTTTATCATTTCCAAATATCACAAGATTCCACTAAGAAATGTGGGAGCTGTGACCATAAAAATATTACAGTATTGTGTGAATCCTATCACTATACCAGCATTCATGAAAGCACAAGGACAAACAAGAAACGCATGCAAGCAAATTCATATTTTGTAACTAAAAACACCTCAAGGAAGGAAATGTAGACAGAATTTATCTACACAACAGAACACCGCAAGTTTCACCTTATCAGACTGGTTTCAAAACATGTCAAGCTCTACGTCAGCGCACTTCCTTTTCAGTTTGGGAGCATGTTGCCAACATTTTGATACACTTGTTTTGCACCTCTTTGTTTTTTTTAATTACTATACACGATTTGACATAAATCAGTCAATGTATTTCATATTTCTTCACAGACCTTATTTCTGTCTTGGCTTCAACTTGTTGACTTTTGAGTAGAGAGGCTCCTGTGGAGGTCTGAGTGGGTGTGTGGCAGTCGACGTAGTCAGACTCGTGCTGTGCTTCACAGTCGAATATTTGCAGGCCGATGAGCTGGGTGTGAGGATCAGTGTCTCAGCAGCAGCTATGTCAGAGCTGATCGGAAAGTTGATGGTGGAGTAATGGAGTGAGGCAGGATGGTTTGTAGGATGATCGACGGTGAGATAAACTGTGTTTGTGGCATATTCTGAGCCTGGACTCTGGAAATGCTCCTCTATCTCTTCATAGATATTGTCCTTGCCAGAAAGAGGAGAAGAAAATACAGTTTGAACTGTTTTTATTTGATCTGATGAGGTTTACCATCAATCATTATCTGTACATCTTGAAATTCAAATTGGTGTTGCTAAAACTGTTAAGCAATGCTTAGTTCAGAACGCTGGCAAATAAAATGGCCAAAAAAGCTAAACCAGGGATTTTTAATCATGCATCCATTAAATCAGTTCACTATTTTTTTTACTTGGGAGAGCTTTCAATCAGTCAGTGTTAGCAGGTACTGTAAGCTCAGGCCTCGGCCGCACAGGTCTAGAGACTGGCGAGTGATGATGTGGCAGTGACTCTACTTTCATGTGTATTCTCTGACTGGTTGCTGTTGGTGCTGGCAGTTGCCAGGAAACTGCTTATTCTCTGGACACAGTGGACTAGAGAGGTGTCAGTGACCCCCCTGGCAACCACAGGTCTTTAGGAAAAAAATATGCATTGACTGATTGGTTGGCATGTGGTTGCTGGCAGCCAAGTATATGGTACTGCATCAGAAACCTCCCAGTGACTGCATGGATCATAGCACACTGCCACAGTCACACATAGAGCACCATTCACTCACCTCTTTGATATACTGTGCTGTTGCTTCACTTCCTGTATCCTTTGAAGGTGAAAGGCCTGAGAAATCGAAAAGAAACAGAACAACGTAGACTCATTTTGACACGTCACTGAACTGAGACTTAACTAGCTCTTCATTTGACATCTGTCAGGATCCAGTGTGTGTGTTGCTGTTTGGCAAATTTTTCCACAATGCACTCCAGAAGCTCCGATTATCACATCCAGCTTCCCTCAACTACGGCTCATCTCTAGTAATAACCTGTCAGTATTTAAGGACCGGCTGAGACCTTCACTTTCCGCCAGATTGTTAGTACCACTATAGTGCTGGTCGGCCTCCTCTGTCACTGGTCCTTCTCGCCAACTTTTTACCTGCTAGAAACTAACCACCGCCTTCTGCTGCTCACTCCGTCTTGACATCTTAGATCTGGAAATCTCACCTGTCTGCCCCCCTGCTCACGGCAACTTTCTGCCAGATGTATGATTAGATATAGGTGTAAAAATGAAGGTAAGTGATAAATGAACTTACGTTTGTAAATAAGGATCAAAACTATCACAACCATCAGCAGCAGAAAAGCTATACAGACGATCAACACGACGACTGCCTCAGAAAAAACAAAAAGAGTCAGGAAACTGATTCACATGCAATCATCACA